TATACACTACCACGCGCAGACCGGTCCTGCCCGTATTCTTATTCTTTCGCAAGCCACAGCTTTTCCTCCTTTAAAGTTAATCTAGTCACATTTATGTTGTTTATTCGTAGAAAGAAGTTTTTCACTGCTCGCTAATCATTTTTTTCTCATTATAATGCATATCCAATAAGCATGAACTGAATACTCCATAGATTCTGTCTACCTCAACTAAAATTCTTATAAAAATTTATTTACACTTGCAATGATAGGACCCAAGGGTCTTAAATAAAGTGATTTATTTATTTATAGAGAGAGAGTAAGGAAATTTCCTAAACGAAAGGAGCTGAAATAGGCACAGCACAGCGCGTCTTTCGGATTTGATCCCAGTCTCTACCTCTCCGAGCTTTTTGATTTTAGCCGGGGGGTGTAGGGAGACATAATGTCGCGTGGAAATAAACTGCGAGCTGTAACCTTTTATTCGGATTTGAAGTGCATCAAATCGAATATCCCCTATTCTTCGAACCTGTGAGTCTCTTATTTATTTCCCATTGTGCCAAGTGGAAGATCCCGCCCGAACCGTCCAAGGAACGGATTCAGTAATTACTCATCTCATTTCGTGCCTGCGGGGCATATCTCAAATTCGTCCTCACCAGCAATCTGCCGTCGTCCAGCCATTTGTGCAAAACTTTCTACTTGACTACTTTTCTCCAAAATCTGCATCGAAGACTACAAACGGCCAAGTCGCCTTCTCCCTAACTCTATACTTAACAACTTACTTATCTTAATATTTATTGAAAATATCCGGCAGTATTCTAAAACAGATTGAAAAGTTGGAAAACCATCACCAAAGAGTCAATCAAGAGTTGCACCAGTAGGACTTGAACCCAGTACCTCCGGTACCAAAGGGCACGGTTTTGGCTACCATCCTAAGGATGGACGGTCTGTAACTGGTCAGATTAATTTGTTAACTACCGGAGAGCAGCTGAGAACGTTTTTTAATCCACTAAGAGTTTCTTGTAGAAAATGCCGATGAGATCATTAGACCCCAAGGAAATTAGGCACGGTTGACTCCACGAGATAAAATATGAAATAGGACCAGTGTACTGGCATCAGGTATTAAAAACTGCATGAGGAGTGGGACGGATTCCTCGTCAGATCCTCGTTGTGTCGGCCATGAGGAACTTAACGCACGAGTTCGAATTTCAGAAGAGAACCAGGGCCTACTGACTGACATCTTTGTGGCTATTCTGGAGAACAGTAAAATAAAATCCCTTAATGATACCTCAAATTTCCGACCGACAAGCGACGGATATCTTCCTAACGGAGGCACGGTCGTGAAAACCTCAAAATCATTCGGAAGTGGATGTGAGTTACGACGTCATAGGAAACTCCAGACAAATCCGTTTCGGAGAATAACGGGTCAGTCGGCGCTAATGAAATAAGCCAAGTTTCATTACTTGCTACGGTAAATAAACCTACCAACTCATCGAACGTTGAAGAAGGAAAAACCACGGTAGACCTCAAAAGGCTTGTGAGAAAATGCACTAGGGTCGCGCCGTTATTTCTGGAAGGGGGAGCTGTCACTCCATTTCATCACAAGTCCAACTCTGCTGGGAAGTTCCTTAAACAGTTCGTTTATGGAAGAGGACAGGATAACTCCGCTTAGAGTACATTGCGGCAGGACAATAAATGTGGAAGTCCCCAGGCAGAAACCAGTATGTCATAAGAAAATTTAGGTCCTGTACCCCCCAATGTCGGATGAAAATCAGTCCAATTTCGATGCGCCATCATCCATGAGAGACAAAACAGTGGCAAAAATTTTCTTACATCAGATGGAGCAATAAAGAGTTCTCCCACAAATGGTTAGCAAAATATCGCAATAAGGGGTGTCTCAGTGATCAGGTCATGCGTTCCGAAGGAACAGATGACGCGCGATCTAAATCTTCTTCATGATTGCGGTAGTGCCGTCTTGGAGAATGGGGAAATTTTCGCCGTTAAAATTTTTACGACTACGCAGAGCGGACTAAGGTCGTGACCCGAAAACATCCACAAGACTCCCAAAAGTTATTTTAGATACTAAAGTCTAGACAAAGCTTCTGTTAGAAGGGAGAATGGCCTTACGGGGCTAGCACAGAAAAGTGTTTTTTTCAGCCATGCTAAGAACCGAGCGAAATACTGGAAATGAGGGAAGTAAGAACAGAACTGGGGGAGAGAATTGGCAGGGGGGAGAAAGGACTGAAGACCGAAAGTGGCCAAATAATCCAGACCAATGAGTCTTCCCTGTGTCCAAAAGCTATCACAATGAAGGCTGGGCCTCTCCGACGAAAGGATCATTGAATTTAATCTCCAAAACTGTACAAAACCTGTTACTTAATGAAATAAAGCCAGACGTCACAGAAACGTGGCTGTCTGTAGATATTGCAGATTCAGGAATATCATGTAAATGATATCAACAATTCAGGAGAGCTAAACCAAGCCGAGAAGGAGGAGTCATAGTTCATGTCACTTGCAGGCTGACCGCTATGACCGAAGTACGCAGTCAGTTACGGGATATGGAACTGTTAAGCATCACCACACTTGGTAAATATACCCGATCACTGATGCATTCGGTGGCTAACGCTCGCCTATCTAGACTTCTGACGACGATCTCATTCCCATAGCCGAAATTTACAGGGCCGGTGAGAAGAAAGATGTACTTTGATGGGACCCCGACGGGGTTCTCATGTTCGCTGATGACAGAAAAATGTGAAGGGAAGTTAACTGTCGGTCGAAATACTACTCCAGAACATCCGTACCGTACTAACGGGACGGCATTAGAAGATGCAGAAAGGCAGAAATCTGGGTGTATGGACGGTCACAAATCTAATGTCGTCAGAACACTGTAGGGGGATTGTCCAGAAAAAGAATAAAAGAGAATAGGTTTATTATAGCTTCCCTTGGGCACTGTCAGTCTCCTATGAACGCAGGAAAAAAACCTAACACAAACTCATCCATTTCGACTGTACTTTGACTTCACTTGTTTTGGATGTCTGTTTATCCAATAGAGGGCTAATTGAGAGTTTGTTTTAGGTTAAAAAAAACCTGAGTTCCAAGGAAAAATAATCGCAAAGTTTTAAAACAGAACGATATGTACAATATAAAAATTGAAGTGTGTAGTTTGGTGGTTTCTGAGTGGGCATGAATAATATGTCCTTCATGAAAATTGAAAACTAGTACGTTACACCGGACTGGACGTGCATTTGAAATATTTTTTTCTCGAACGTTTCAGAAAGCTTTTTAGGTACCTTTGTATAACCCCACCTGCAGTATGGAATGCCAGCAGCTACACCATGAGTGAGGATGGCTCAGTGCAGTCTACTCTGAACATTCCAGATTTTCCGTGGCCATGGTTGCCTAATAAGACCGGAGGGTTTCGTTAAGTCTGTCCGTACAAACCAATAACGCGGCTATCCCTACAAGTTCAAGAGCAGAATACGCGGCTAGACCGTCGGAAATATTCCTTCAGCCAACGGGTTGTCTGACCATGGAATTCGCTTCCAAATGAGATGGTGACGGCCGACACAATTCACATGTTTAAAATCAAACTTGCTAGCGTAATGTTCGACAGAAACCGACTTTTGAAACATGACTACTCACAGCCAACTTTGTAAAACACTTTTTGTATCCAGTATTTTCGTACTGGCTCAAAATGAACAGGAGCCATTCCTTATTATTTATGTTGTATTGGACCGATTACACTTTAAATGTGTGCAATTTTATTTTGAGAGTGAATATGCGCAATAATTGTACATAGATAGGGTCGTCAAGGGCTCTGCCGGTGACCCTTAAAATACATAACGACAGTTCGACCGTCGATTCCGACGATGTCAGCCGTGTGCTCGACAGCAGGATGAGATCTGGGACGGCGACTTGCGCGTGAACTAGTTTATAAAGGTAGTAGACTTGCGCGGCATCTAGCACACTCTCTTTCCTCATTCCCCTCCTGGACCCGGTGTCAGGACAAAGTTAAGAAGACCGGAGGCGGGGGAGGACGGAGGTGAATGGCATAGTCGAGCCCGCACTTTGGTACTACGCACCACGCCCCTTGGTCTATATAGCAAATGACCGGGATTTTAACCAAAACGAATGGGGAGGACCGCAGGGGTCCCAATGTGAGTGACCAGTGTCGGTAACTGGGGCTGCCGCTGCACTCCGAAATTTTGGATTTTGTTATGGAGTGCATTCCAATACTGCTTGCCAAGACAATATCCATCGAATAGCATCGTGGCGCATAATCATGTTCCCCCATTTTCTTCTTATAAGCTGTGGACGAAACGCTATCGATGGGGAGAGCTTTAACCCATCTGATCGAGAAAAAGAACTTCCGCGCTCCCAGTCCCGGATAGAGTGGGTGGCTCGGAGCACGCGACACACCCCGTAAAATCCAGAGGTTTGCACGTGTATGTGAAACCCGTTTGTTGCTTTTGGATTTTTCTACACGGAATTAAGTTTTTGGCGTGTTTGCACTGTCCTGGTGCCTTTTGTCGAAACTGAGTTTTCCGAATTTTCATGTGTAATTTAGTTTTCCATAATCGGCCATTAGGTCTTTCTTGCCAAATGACTACATAATTAGCACTTGGTATACTGTTTTGGTGCAGTATGGGTTCAGTTCAGTTCAGTTTATTTGAGGGAAATATAGGTGTTGAACCTTTGAACTCCCTATTTGTTACAAGGAAGCGAACTATATCAAAAAGTTGAAATGGAAACATCAAACAGCTACAGAGTGTCTTCAGATTGGCAAAGTTTTAGAGCCAGACAGATAAACGAATTGTTCCAAGAGTTAAAAACACTAACGTTACTAAGTGTGCAGTACAGTAGGCTGTCTACGGATAGTTGGTGCTATCTCAGTTTCGGAGGGAGACGAATTAGATGCCAACACACATTCAGCAGACATTAGACAATAATAAAAACACAAACGCTACTTAAATACAGGCAGTAATATAACAATATTAACTGTTCGAACGAAATGCAGACGTTGTCGGTCAGGTGGCATTATGACGTTTGGTGGTACACTGGTCCAACTTGCGTTTAAAAGCCTCGACGGAGGTGGACATGACGACACCTTCAGGCAGAGCATTCCAGGCCTCGATCACTCTGTTCGAAAAGATGAACTTCCGAATGTCCAGCTTGGCGCCAGTTACGCGTAGCTTAAGTGGATGACCTCGGAGGTTCGTTGTGGTCGCTAACTCAAAGAAATCAGCAGGTACGAGACAGCAGTCGTGGCCGCGCAAAATACGGCATGTTTGTATAAGGTCGCCTCTTAGCTGTCTGTAACTCAGTGGAAAAAGTCCGAGATTGGACAAACGTGTTTCATAGGGTAGTGAACCCTGTCCTCTTACGAGTTTGGTCTCCCGCCTATGGACTTTCTCAAGGATGCTGAGGTCTTTAGAGGTCCAGGGTTTCCACGCCTGAATAGCGAATTCTAGCTGTGGCCGTACGAAAGTCCGAAAGACTTTAACGAAGCAGTCCTCATCGAAGGTAGAGAAAGCTCTCTTGACAAGATAAAGGACTGACATCGCAGACTTGGCTACCTTGGAGCAGTGGAGCGACGGTTTTAGAGAAGCCGTTGCCCACACACCCAAGTCCTTCTGGGCGTCTACCTCCTGAAGTGGTACGCCATTTAGGTAGTAACCCCTCCGGCTTTGAGATAGGGTCCTGCCGACTCGCAAAACATTGCACTTAGTCACATTAAACGGCAGAAGCCAGTCCTGTGACCATTTCTCGAGTCGGGTCAGGTCTGCCTGCAAGCGCTCTTCGTCCAATTCAGTTCGGATGACGCTCCAAACTTTAACATCATCAGCGAACATGGCGACATCACAATTCAGTTCACTGACGCAGTCGTTGACGTATATAATGAATAAGGTAGGGTCAAGAACGGAGCCTTGCGGAACACCGCTTTCAACCGCTACCTCCGCCGACTGCCTGTCACCGACGTGGACGATTTGAGAGCGACCGATCAAGAAACTTTGTATCCACCTCAGGAGATTACCGCTTATGCCTATCCGGCTTAATTTGCACAGGAGACGCTGATGTGGTACACTGCGAATGCCTTCTTAAAATCGACGTAGACTGCGTGCACTGCATTGCCGCCATCGACTGCCCGGGCCCAGCGATCTAAGCAATATAGTAGATTCGTCACGCATGATCTGCCTCCACGAAATCCGTGCTGGGCATCGCATAGCAGATTATGCTCTTCTAGGAAGTGCATTATTTCTCGCTGAATTATTTTTTCCATAATTTGCAGCAAATTGAAGTAAGGCTGATTGGTCTGTAGTTGTTTGCTAAGACCTTGCTGCCACCTTTATAAATTGGCGTGATCCGCACGGATTTTCAATCGGCGGGCAAGCAGCCTGCTTCGAATGAAGCTTGGAAGAGCATGGACAGCGGTTTAGATACTTCTCCAGCAAGCTCCTTCAACAATTTCGGCGGTATGTCATCCGGCCCAGGTGATTTGGACTCATTCAGCATCAACAGTACTTTGCGAACAATAACTTCGGCGAAAGAGACGTGCTCGATTGTTGGCCCGTCCACTATGTCACAGTCGGGAGGGAGAAATGTGCTCTTCTTCGTAAAGATGGACTTAAAAAATTGTGAAAGGTGCTCTGCCTTTTCTCCGTCTTCACTGAGTTCTAGGTCGTCCCTAAGTTTCAGTAACGGGATTAAATCTCCGTTTCGTGTGCTTCTTCTTATGGTACTATAGAATAACTTCGGATTTTCTGCGGCTCGATTCAGTAGGTCTTTCTCGAAAGTACGCCGCGTCCCGAGGAGTAACCTCCTTACTAGGTTCCTCTGTGCTTTGTACGCATTTATCGACACAGAGCTCCTATCCGAGAGGGATTTTCTCCATAACCTCCGCTTTTTATTCACTTCTTTTTTTAATGCTTGTGTTAGCCACGGGGTCTGCTGTTCAGTTTCTTCCGTGAAGTAGGACAGTGCTCTCTGAGAAGAACGTGCAGTAACCCAATAAACCAGTCCCAATCCTTGATTATATCACCGGAAAAAGCTGATTCTCAGTTTATGGTATTTAGCTCAGCTTTCATTTGGGCAAAGTCACCGCGCCAAATGTTCCTTCTTACCCTGGTGGCCTGTTCGGGCAGAGAAAAAATGGAGTACTCCCACAACAGTACGACGTGGTCGCTTCGA